GTCGCGTCCCCGCACTTCCGTTCCACGCGTCGGTCCGCTCCTAGCCGCGCAGGGGAAATTGCAGGGGAAGTTCGAAAGTTCGCGCGATACCCTATGAATTCCAATCGACCAGGCATCTCCCGATCGGTCTGACAGTGTTCCTCGCGTCGATTCCGCACTAATAAGGCCGGAGTGACACGAACGTCGAAATGACGGATGCTAAGGCTGTGTTTACATTACAGCTTCGATAGCGAAGGGACCGTCGACTGTAGCGTTGATAAACCCTATTCGAGATCGTTCCCTTTGGCGCGTTTACAGTGAAGCTGTGATAACCATATGGTTTCAATTGTTCAGTCCATATAATAGGTCTAATAAGTATCTCAATTCATTTTTCTATATCTATTAAGGAGGATACCAGAGCAAAGAAATCGTACATATTGACGTCCAAATCGATGATCGTCACTTACTCAAACAGTTTTATAGTCGGACAACGCAACATATTTCTGCGCTTTGTTCTTATCGACACTGTTATCCAGTATCGTAGCTGTGATGTAAATGCAGCCTAACAAGATCGTTGTAACATGTGTATTAGGTAATTTCATAACTAATATCATTTTGTTATGTTACCTTATAGTATAACAGATTAATACTTTGGTTGTTTTTAATCGTCGAGGTATCGACTATCGTTGTGTATGACCTTTTCCTATGTACGGATTCATTTTTTAATGGCATTTTCGAAATAACATTGAAAGGTATCTCACAACGATAAGAAATCGTATCACATATGAGACGAGTTACTGTTATTTCACATAGAATAACACGAGCAACGTCCGTCAAATATAACATGCGTATAACGCAGGGAACGTCGACGATTGCTATGACGTGCGTTGAACATTCGATACGAATGTAGTTGCATTCTTTTTTCGTTTTATGAAACTTGTCACACGAGTATATAACAAACTGACGTCCGTTCTAACAAAATAAAAATGGATACTTGATACGCACTGATACGAAAAAGTTGTAGTTACGAAACTACATTGCGAGAATCCGTAGGCTTCATTTTAGATAATATATTTCTATTTATGAATCCTAAAAAATTGTTGTCTTCGGATGTTTCAGTTGTTTGCAATCGAGTCGGCCAACGATGGATGTTTAACGAAAAGGGATACCGAAGCTAGCTAATAATTACGCGATTTTGTAACATTTCAGCTTAGAAAAGCATATAAATATAAAGCTGAAGGTTACAGTTATACAGCCGGAAAAAGTCAAAAGTTTCCGCTTGATAGTTATTAGCAAAAAAGTTCCTAAAGTTTATCTATATTTAGGACGCCTCTAGGTGGTATACCTCCTTAAAGTTAGTAACATTGGCAAATATCATAATTGACATCTATCGTAACGTCCGTTGTCTGAACGCTCGTGAGACTCTGGCCAGAGTAGACACCATCACGCTAGATAGCGAGCGAGCGAGCGGTAAGGATACCGCTGCGTTCGATTAGAAACCGCATCGGACGAATCGCGCATGTAATCGAGTGACAGTGATTTAGAATCGGCGCGAGGAAAGTCGGTGCTCGTTAATAGGTTGCTCGACGGGTCTCGTGGTTCCCGCCATTCGTTTTCATTAACGGAAACATATGTTGGCAAAGAAGCATCCGGTTTGATGGAAGTGGGTCATATTTCTGGGCTTATTGGTGATCTTCGCGATGACACCCGATACATCATTCGTTTCGAGAAATGCAGTGAGGAAAAGGTCAATGAGTTAGGGTCTGGCGGTGTTGAGTACGGGCTTCAGTTGATGGATTATTAGACGAGGAAAATTTATTCGTTTCTATTCTGCATTCGATCGCGCCTGTATTCTTCAATCTGGTAATTGTTAGTGTCCTACTAATTTACACAACTTTCATTTATGATTATTGGCTATTGTAATATTTGATAAGGTTTTTAATAGAGTTTAAGAAAGTTAGTATTGTTTGCTCTTCATGGTTTATGTATACTAATGTAGGTTAGAAGTTTATCGTAATTTTCGTTCAATTTACTAGAATTTTCCGATTTCTGTCGCCAAACATCATTCTTCGCGAATAAATCAGCATTGGATGCGAACGTTTACGACTCGATCATTTTTCCAACAAATCGCCACGCTTATTAGCAAACTGTGGATCTTTATGCGTTTACGGTAACCGTTACCGAATAAAATCCATTCACTTGGGAATTAAATAGAAGTTTATTGCCTCGATAAAAGTTTCATTTGAATGGGCTTTATACCGAATAATTCGCTGTAAGTGCATATTTTCATCAAAGTAGTCCTTAAAAACGTGCATTAGCATAAATATCTTTCGGTTTATTCATTAGACCAGCCGAAGGAATTTATTAATTTGATATTAATTTTAACATTTCCAAGCTCCGCAAATTACATTCGCCCAATAAGTTTATCTGCAAAACGGTCCCATTAATATTCAATTAAACATCACAATTATCATTAACGGCCGAGGATATAACCCGGCGCAATAATCCTTATACTATCGTAAAACATTGTCAGGAAGTTACTACACGTAACTTCTCTCGGGACCGATTGAAAAAAGTCATCAATCTAAAATTAATTTCAACGTCTCAGCCGGCTTTCCAATCTACGGTCGCCGGCGTGCGCCCGCGTGTGCGCGCGCGCGCGAGCGAGCGATTATGCGCAAAAACTCTCATTTACATCCGAACCACGTTCGCGGTAATGAAATAACGAAGAGGTTCATTAAGACTATCGAAGGATCGCGATAGAGGCAATTTCCCCTAGAAAATTCCCCCGCAACACAGTGGTTGAAATTTACGCGTCGTTTTCTCCGGCGCGCCGGCTACAATGCTCGGCCGACACGTGATAGCTTTGTCCTCCTTCCGCGCGTCCTAAATCACTCGTAATGATTATTACTTGTATTAGCCGTGGTAATTGTAGCTTTACGCCCGGGACTCAATTACGCGGGGAGTCTGGGCCCGGCGCCGCGCCGATAGGAATTCGTTTAAATATTCCCTACCCCTTCGACGATTCCCTTTTTCCGTTCACGAGGTTTTCCGTTCGTCGCTGTAACCGTGGACTCCGTATATGGGTCACGACGATTTTAACTGGGAAGTTCGTACAGTTTTCTGGACAAGATACAACGGAACTCGTAAAATTAGCCACCCCCACCACTACCGCGACCGGAATCGGTATCATTTATTTGCCGAGACGTATCCAGAGCTTGCTCGCCGTTATTGCCTGTTTTTCGAAAGATGAGAGATGCGAGGTATATCAACGGTCGTAATAATTGTCCACTACACTCCCTGACCGCTCGAATTTTATGGGCACGTTGCGGATGTTTATGCATTTATAGCTCCTCCTAACCTGCAAAACGCGGTAAAATAAAGGTACTTACAAAGTCAAGCACCGTGTACGGTGTTATTGATTTTTATGAGATTCGTAGGGCTCTCTGCTTGCCAAATTCGGCGCGGTAAACAGTTTTATTAAAGACTAACGGAGCTTTTATTTAAGTTTCATTTAAATTCGGACTTTAACGTGCATGTACATCGAATGTGTCGATTAATCTGATTGCTTTCTGGCATTTTATTCCATTCTATGAAATATTTCTAAGTGTCTTAGCTTATATTAAATTTAGTCTACATTGAACTCTTGGTACGAAAGTAATCAATTATTTATTAATATACGCGTGTACATTATTGATATATATTAATAATTATAACGAAATGTAATGTTTATCGATTTTGCGGAACTTACTCTTCCGCAAACATTACTACTAGCAGCGCGAGAGAACACTGAATTCAAGTTATGCGAATCTCTTCTTAAGGAGATACTTGGTTATATTTATATCTATACTATGAATCAAAAGAAACTACCCCTAATGCTCGTAGTTCAGATGAAAGTTACTTATTTGGCTAAATTGCGAAGTTAGACTCCCGGGCCGGGAACGTAAGGAGAGCAAAGAACCACTTAGAAACGATGGAACATGTTTTTAGACAAACATCGTCTAGCATTGCCCAATGGTACTCGCCTGGATCATTTGCCGCGCCGCTCCCAGACATTAGCCGGTTGCACGGACTGACATTTGTTGAGGCAATCGTCTCTCATTTGAGCACGCTTTCCTCTTAAGCTGATTGCCTCGCCGTAAACAAGGCGCACCGGTGCCTATCGAAGCCGATTGCCTCCTCCTGAAATACATCCACCGGATCGCTTTTACAAATTAACCAGACGCCTCGCGAACGAAACGAGAGTCTTGACACTGTCTTTACATCTGATAATATATAGTATTATCGACCGGTTTGGAAATATCGACGGGACACTGACGGCCTTATTAATTATGTTGCGCCGTTCGAATTTGATTACCGGCGAAATTCAATTCGAGGACGATGGCAAGGCTCAGAATAACTTAAATGAAATTTGAAGATTGGGTACTATGTTATGAATATTGCTTTATAATATCATTTATTTTCACTCCTGTAATAGTACAGAGTGATTGCATGAAATTTATCCATAAATTTTAGAACCAGAACATTGATATTAGATAATCGTTATAGAGTTGTCCTGGAAACATTCTCACGACATCGAACGAAATAATGGAATACAATAAAAATTAACGCAACGAGAGAACATTAATATTATCAAGTATTAGTCAACAAAGCTTCGTTATCAGCGTCGCATATTTGCGACAATTAATGTTTCATATGTTGTACAAAGAAGAGTAAACTACTCTTACGTGTGTTTTTATCTAATATTGTAACACAGGGTATAATGTGCAGGAAGTCGCGCAGATTTTATCCTTTGATTATTTGTATTTTGTAAAGACAATACATTTCATTTAATAAAACACTGTAAACACAGCGACTGTTATTGAAAGAAATGCTGGCAGTGAATGTAATCACTCGTACCTTAATAATTCAATTCCGCGTGAACCGATTGACACGATTATTAGAATCGATCGAATAATTCGTGATTACTTTTCATCTATGCAACAAGCGTAGTAAAGCATAACCATGTCATCTCGTTTTAGTTTCAGAGTACAGCGTCCGGTTGGCGGGAGGAAGAAGGAAAACCCCACACAGAGAGGGAGAGAAAAAAGAGGGAGAAAGTGAGGGCGAAAGAGGGTCCACGTCAAAGATTGGTGAGTAACCTTCGCTTTATGGAAGTAGATCGATAGGAAGAGGTAAAACAATTAGAAAGGAGCGGATGTGTTTCCCATGAGGGAAAACAAAGGGTATTGGGACGGGCAAAGGTAAAAGAGGGACGATAGTGTGGTACGCTGCTGGTACGCTAATGGAAAGGGCCTCCGCTACACGTTTACCGTCTACGTGCTCGAGCCGATCGATCGATATATCGATGGACCCTACGTCCGTGTATCCCCACCGCACGCTCGCAGGGGGTAGTTAATTACGTTTAATACCCTCGATTATGTGTTTGCGCCGAATACACACTCCCGACGAATCCGTTGTACTTCTGGCCTCCTTGTTGCGGATGTTGCAATCTTCCTTATTGGGTCCAGATCGGCGGCATTATATAACAGTATTTTTGTATCCAGTTCAAATTTATTACTCGGTCACAGAGTTCAATTGGTTGGTATTATCACTTGGAAAAGAATAACCCCAGAGAAACAAAATTTACAGCATTAACATAGATATTATCTTTGAAGGTTATGATCTTTCAATGGCGCTTATAATCTTGAAGAATTGCAAGTGCAATTAAATATTAAATATTAAGAATATTAAACAAATTTACGAATACAATTAAACATGACAAGGACAATATTTTGGTTGTCCTACACGCTAAATTTATGAAACGTTACTTTCCTACGTTCCCATTGCCGGCGCTTCGAAAGCAAAAGCTGTTGATTCACGTTTTCCACCCACAATGTTATCATTCCGTGAAACAAAAGCATATTAATCACCAACAGTCAGATCGTCTAGAACGAACGAAACTGTTGCAACATGTTAACTCCCGTTTTCATTTATGATTACAAGCAGTTAAACCATTGTTCACGCACGCGCCGCACTCGAAGACGTTACTACGGTGTTGCGAGCGAACGGGGATAACCGGGACTAAAAGGGAAATGAGAATGAATGTAATAATATATTTAATATTCGCCGGGTCCCTGCCTCCTCCACTCTCGGTATTACAAGTCAACCAATATTCTCGCCCCCGTTCCGAGTACCTCCACCTCTTACCCCTTCGTCGGCCGTCTTTCTCTCTCTCTGGGTCGATCCCTTCGTCAGCCCTCTCTCACCATCTCCTTTCACCCTCAACCTTGCCGTTATTTTGCGTACCCTCCGTGCCCTCTTCTTCCTCATCCTCTCCCTCCTCCCTCTCACCCTGACTTTCAAAGTGCACCGACATTATTTCCGCTGTAACCAACACGTTGGGGGTTGTAGTACCCGAGCGCCAGGGGAAAGGAGATAGCGGTTTCCGCGGAACGCTGGTGATCGCTTCGGAATCGAAGTGAATTCCCCTGTTTCCATTAATGACCTCCTTCGACGACTGTTTTGGATTCGGAAATTAGGGGTGGTAATTGAGGGTAGGCGGGTGGCTGCCGGCCAGAGCTGTTAATGCGATGAAACCGATCGGGCTTGTGAAACGCGAATCCATTGATACAGCCTCCACGGGGGGTATCCATGATATTCTATTAGCGCGATATCCGGGTTCAATTTGAATCCGAAATAGATATTTGAATATCGTCGACAAATTTTTTTTGCTCGTAGGAATTTCCTCGTGTAACACGTTTAACTCGATTTTTGAATGTTTAATCGAAGGGATTTTTGCAGAATAGAGACATTGATGCCTCCAAGAGTCTTAAACCTCTGGAGCCTCTAAATCCAGAAAGAATTATTATTCAAATGCTGTAAATCTTAGTACCATCGAATTTTCGAAAGTAAGTTTTATCATATCTATAAAAAAAGATAAACAAAAACAAATTTCTATTCAACTAATCCCATGACCTGTACAAAAGTCTCAACCCTCAAAAAATGTATCAACAACAAATACAGTCATCCGTCTACGAAATCATTCTAGGTAGCAACTCCATTCGATTACAAACCCCGGTAGACAAGACCATGTTCAAGAATCGCAATACAAGAATGCGTTAATAAAACACGTGAACGATATAGTGTTACGGCGTCTTCGATGCTCAAAATTCACAATAGTGAGGGGAACGAGGGGGAAGAACGTCCAAGAGAATGGGAGAGAGAGAGTGAAGGGTGCGGGGGTTCGGCGCACGAGTGCCGCTGCGTTGGCATCACGTGCCACGTGATATTAGTTCATATATATCGCGGGGGTAAACATGCAGCGACGCAGGGACAGGCGGGGCCGGAGGCCGAGGGGTGAGTAGCAGAGGAAAGAGTATGTGTAAAAGTAGCTGGTCTCGCGAGGCCCTGCGGAGGAAGGGCACGTATTCGATGTAAACTATAAAACGTACCCTGTTTGCGGCCTTCCCCGCGGCCCCGTCCCTCCGCCGGCCGCGCTGGCAGTCTACCCGCCAGTTCCCGGCAACCCCACTAACATCGTCGCAGAGTCCGCCCCATCCCAGCCTGGCAACCTGCTCGCTCGCGTAGCATATTGAATCTTATGAATTTGTGGCCCGTGTGGTCGGGGCACCGCCGGGGAAAAATTTAATTTCCAACGATTTCGGGCTTTACGCTGACGTGGGCAGCGCTGCCTGCCTGGATCGGCTCGAGCATCTTGTTCGCTCCTCGCCGCGCGATTGTTGGGTACGAAGCTGGATTCCGCGCGGCGAGTCACTTCGTTATTCGCGATTGTTTTATTTCATCAGGGTTGAGAATTGACAATTTCCGAATTGACTTGGATCATTCGCGGGTACTGGTAGGTTCTATGGATGAGTTTGGGTGATTTGTTTAGGAGTGAAATGGAAGGGAGGCAATTTTGTTGTGGTTGGAAGAGGCACGTAAAATTTGAAGAATGTATCTAGTACCTACCTTAGTAGGATGAACAGGGTTGTAAGGTGACTGTTCAATGCCTTTTACCTTTGCACTGTTATGCCACAGCTGTGCAGATGAGGAGATGGTCCGGGATCCGGATACAGGGGCTCAATGGAACAAAAGTCTCTGTTGCGGAGACGTCTATTAACTTAATAGAACAGCGATTATCTAGCGTTTTGTGGTCACGTGGTTTTTATATTCGTCGCTGTTGAAAAGAGTGGAGTAACGAATCATCGGGGGAATCGTGGAATCTTCCGTGTTTTGGGTAGCAACGCAATGAGGAATCGCTTGATGCAGCGTCTGTCAAGTTGCAGCACGTGATCGTTCAGGGTCGCACGTAACAGCACATTTGGTATTGTGAAAACATGTTTTCATCTAACTTCTATTTTCATCAGTCTTTGAAATTGCGAATTTGCATAGAAATTTAATCCATCGTTTAGCTAAAGGAACATATATTACAGAAGCTTCCTTTCTCCACAGAGCAAATACAACAATACCGAAGTCCAAAATCGATGATATGTAACGTTGCATAAAAAATAAACAGCTGTAACGGTTCGAAATAAAAAGAACATTGTGTGATTTATGGCGTCCTGTCTTACATCACCGGCCATCAAGTAGAAAAGGCAGGTGGCGCGTCCGGCTTTCCGAAGCAATGACAATAAAATATTTTCTTCGATCAGATATTGTAACGATCGCAGGAGGCCGGACAACGAAAGCCCACTGTTTTGCAAATTACTTTGATCCAATCGTGTCACGATCTCCTGGAAGGAAATACGAGCGGGCGCGCGTGCGCTCCGCGTTCCCCGCGAGTTCTCGAAAACGCTTCATGAATATAAATACCGGCCGGGTACTCGAATCTGATTGTATCGCGCGATAAGACAGCACGCGATAGTAAATATCCGGCGAGATATGTACTTTCTTCGATCGGATCCATACTTATGCATCGAAATATTGAATTCGTCAGTATCCCGGCACACGTGCTCGCCTATGTTCGCCCATCCAATTAGGGGAAACACGTTACCCATTGTGCGTGTACACGGCCTAATGACTGTTCATTACGGCGCATTAAGTATCCTCGCCTTTCCTCCGTAATTTGAAATTACGAGAAACATTCTTCTCATCGGTGTCGTGGATCAAGAGCGTCCCCGTGCTCGCAATATTTTATACAAAATAATGTGTTTTCGGTGGAAATAATGAAATGATTGCAGCACGGGCGACTCGCGTCGTGCTTGAAACGTCCTGTTGCAAGCGATCGCGCATTTAACCGGCCACTTTGTAATTTATTATGTCGTGATCGTGTATCTTGCAATTTTGTTATACATTAACTATCCAGAAACTGATATTTTTTTATTTTCAACCGAGAAATATCCGAATTTCCAAGTGTTTTATTAATGCCGCGTCGTAAGGGAAATATTGGGGGTACCCATAAGTCGTCAGTCTTTTTTGGATAGGTGAATTTAGTTAAGATCACTTAAATATATTTATCAGCGAGGGTAGGCTTTTATGATAGTTTGCAAAATTTTAATGTGAATTTATAGTTTATAATTAAATAAATTAGGATTCAATGTAGCCACCACGACAACATTTAGTTTTCAATTAAAAATAATTGATTACATATGGGTACTCCTAATAATTTTCTTTATTTGCATCACTTCTGTATAATTCGCAAAGTTAAGCAAAGGAATTATCTTTTACTTCGAGATTACCATTAAACTGTAAGACACTTAAACATTGTCATGTATTTTAATGTTGTTCATTATAATCATTTCTTCTGCCACTGAAGTTAACAATAAGATCCCGGAAGAAACCATTTCCCTTTATATCGTCAACTTTACATCTATGTATCAGCTAAGTCTATACACGATTCACTTACTTCACCCTACAGACTTATTTCCCGAAGCGCGTGGAACTGGACGGTATAAACTCGGCTCGCGCGGTTTAATAAAAGAAACCAAAGCGTCTTATAGGCGCCATTATCCTGTGACAGGAAACGTTTCCCCGCAGGTGTTGCGTCCCGGTAACGTTCAACATTAACCGGCGTTGTTATTCGGTGGAAATAATAAAGGGGTGGTGTCTTCTTCCGGACGAATCGTATTTTTGTTTTTTTTACGATACCGGTCGCGGCTGTTACATATTTAAAGGCGATATACGATCTAATATCGTGTTGCGCGGGATACAA